TTGCCCTGGCTTTAAAACTATTTAAAACTAGGGTCTTAATAGTAGTTTAGTGTTGATTTTTTGGTGTTTCGTCCGACCAATCACTTAACGCGACTTAAGGTCCCAGGGCAGACAAATGTATAAACATCAACGACTGTCATCTTGAATATACATCTCAAGTGTGCATTTTGTCTCAAAAAAGATTCCAGTACCAACTTCATGCAAGTTCCATACTTTTATTAACACAGAGCTATCTTTGAAAGAGGAAAATAGAGTCATACTGTTTTCCATATCAACATTCCACCAAAGATATACTCAAAACTGCGATAGGAATAATAAACTGAATGTGTTTCGTGGCTTAACATCTCTGGAACACGTCAGTCCGGATTAAATACTAAATTTCAAGCAAATCCAAAGACGTGGATGTATCGTCAGCCAGGATCTATCGAATGACAGCATAACTTCGGTGACAAACAGGCTCACATCACCATTTTCGGTCAGGTGAATGTTTTTTTCAATGATAAGCATTATTGCGTATATTTTCAGGCCGCTTGGGTACCAGCCATATTTCACTGTTCCACAATAGAAAGCCGTCAGTGATGATCATATGATCAAATTTCATTGGATTCTAGAATATCTTCGACAAGCCTAAGCTTGTTTCACTTCCAGAAGCGTCTAAAGAGAAGCTCTTTCAAAACCGGCACAATCGTACGAGGCAATGATGGATCTTAGGAACGAGGTCGGGCATAACAATATGTCTTTCCAAATGGAATCCGAAGTGGAACATGACGCCCAAACTTGTGACGATAAAGCTATAAGAAATGACACTCCTCAGGCAAAGCCAAAAGTGAAAGCACAGCCGTGTAAGGATTCCGATACAGAGAAACTTCAACGTTTACTTTTTATTGCATGCGCCGTTGCCTTTGCTTCATTGTTGACAGCATTTGCCACTTTGGTCTTAGCTGTGGCAATCATGACGGTACAGAGCGAGGTTTCGACATGTACCCGTACACCTTCCGCAGCCCTTCCCTGTGGTAAGTAAACGCTCATAACTA